ATACTAAATAAAATATCTACAATATGTCAGGCACTTACTATTTTTCACATACTTCATTGAAGAAAAGTATAAATTTCATATTGGCTTTGCAGAACTGCAAAAACCTTATACATTGCCCTGACTGGGTAGCTCAGTTGGTTAGATCGTTGTCCCTGATATGCCAAAGTTGTGGGTTTGATCCTCGGTCAGGACACATACAAAAATCAACCAATGAATGCATAAATAACTGGAACAAATCAACACCTCTCTCTCTCTCTTTCTCTCTCTCTCTTTCTCCCGCCCTTCCTCTCCCTCTAAAATAAAAAATAAAAACAATTTTTTTTTAGAAAACCTTAAGTATGATATGGACATGCATAGCATTTGCATGAACCTTTTAAATAAAAAATGGCAGCCAAGAACTCTGGTCAAATTCAGCCATCCCAAGGATTTTTGTGTGGCCCAATAATAACCAACATTAAAAAAACAGATGCCATAGAAAAAATCCAGATGTCTATCTTCTCAGAAAAATCTTAAAGTCTACCAAACCAAAACCTTTATTTACTTATTTATTTTTACTGCAGTAATGGGATGGAGTGGAGTACGAGTTGTAGGGCAGCACCTTCTGCCTGGCCCTGGTACACATTTGAGTTTGGGGACCAGGATCTGAAAAGAGGTACAGAACCGAAACCACTGTGAAGAAAGAAGCTGAGGGTGATCGCTATGAGAAAAATAATACTGACAAAACTGAAAAAGTGGGAATCTTGCTCCTCTAGTTCTAATAAACTCAAGCTTTCAGAGGACCCTCCATTTTTATATCTTGAGTGCTGACTGGTTCTCTAGTTTGCATAATAGAGTTAAACATTTGTACACTAGAGTTTTCTGTTTGTATATGTGTTATATTTTTATGAGGCAGAAAAGTTTATTTCATCTGGCAAACCCAGGATAACTATGTTGCAGAGTTAATTGGTAAGATATTTAGGATAATTATTCTTTGAAGGATTAAAAGAACCTTCTAACTAAAGTTTTAATCCACTTCCTTCAGTCTCTTCCAACTCACCCAAGCATTTAAAATCTATATATTTAAAAAAAGAATATGGAATTTTCTATAACTTCCATATGTAATCTATGCCAGCATTTATAAGCCCCACAGTCATGAGATTCTAAATGAAAGTTTGTGCTTAAATGTGCATGATTTGGCTTCACTAGATCTCTAATTCACTTGTTTTCAAACCACTATACATTTAAAGACAACTAGACAGTGACATCAGAGGCATGGCAGTGTGAGAGATCCCCTCGGTCTCCCCCCTTGATGTTTCAACAATTTAAACAGCTATAATTCAACGAAGTCTTCCCTCCTCAATGCACAGACACACCTGAGAGAACCGAGCACTGAGAAATCTAAAGGTGGGCAAGTGGGAATGAACCGGGGAGGAGAGAAGGGAAGTGCTGAGCTGAGCCACCTGCAGCCAGGAGCTCAAGGTAGGGCTCAGCCTGGAGAGGGGAGGAATCAGGTTTTGGCTGGCACTCCCTTCAGTCAGGAGGAGCTACCAGATTTGGGGGACATTCCTGCAGGAGTTGGCATTATGAGCTACAGCTGAACCCAGTTGTCTGGTGGTTGGCATCCCACTCAGAGAAACCAAAGTCATGGAGCCTGGCTGCCCCTTATTCTCCTAAAGCTTGCTTCCTTCACCTTTGGTTGCAGAGCACATTACCTGCAAATCTGAGAACTAGTCCTACAGAATCACTATTTCCCTGAGCAAAAGGCCCACTCTGTGAATGGTCTCAGGATCAGGGCAAGAAGAGAATTCCACAGAGGTCCGAGGTCACAATTACTGGAGGACAAAGCAATTTAGAAGGTGCACAGGTTATCCAAGTCCACCCCCCCCCCACCCATGGCTATACTGACTGCAGTGTCTGGCAGTAGAGGACAGCACTGAGATTTCACAAATTTGAAGCCCCACGGCCCACCACGTTTGTTCATTGGCAGGGTTGGTTCCCTAGGACTGGGGTGACCAGATCACAGGGGAGGCACCCACCTCCCATTTTCCATCACCCCAGGGATCTGAAAAGCCAGAGAAGAACAAGAGAGTGGAAAAAAAAAAAAAAAAAAGAAATCCTGATTCAGCGCCACCTATTGGAAGATAATAGGACTTCTTTGTATCAATCTACTAGATGCCACTCATTCATAGATGCCTAAACAGAGGAAGGAATCCATCAAATACCATGAATAACCAAGGTAGGGAGGCAGCTAAGAAAAAAAATAAAAATCTCCAGAAAATAAACTGAAAGACAAGGAAATATGTGATTTAAATGACAGAGACTTCAAGATCAAGAGATTAATATCTAGGCCTCAGTTATGTTCAGCTCCAGGCCCAGAAAAGCAGGAAAACCAGAAGTAGTGACACCATGGCTGACATCAGGGCCAATTCACTGATCAACAACCCCTACCCTAGCACCAACAAATCGACAGAGACCACGACCTTGACCATGACGCTAACTCCCTTAGTCATCGTAATTAATTATTTTTTCTCCTATACACTCCAACCACTAGAAATCTTTGGGAAGCCAGGTCTTTGAGCATTTGCTCACTTGTGTCTCTGGGGCTGGGCCACTTCCTAAAAATAAGCTCTTACTTTCCTTGCTGCAAACCACGGTTTGATTTTATTGGGCTTTGATGCTCACAGGCAAATGGGCCCCTTTGGTCTGGCAACAACGGTAAATGGAAATTCTTTATAAGAAACCTCAGTGTTTCATAGATTTCAAGACAAAGTCTTGAAACACCCAGAGTTGCATCTTCAAATAGGTCAATTTTGTTGGAAAACAAAATTCTGAGTAAATGTGAAGATCAAACTGGCTTTATGGAATGACTCATGAATCAGGCAACAGTCCACCAAGGTAACAGAAAGGAGCTCCAAAGACCTGTACAAAATGGAAGGCTTCTATAGGCAGAAGGCAGAAAAGATAAGGAAAGAGTGGGATTCCCTCATCCTACTTTGGGGGACAGAAACAGTCTGGAAGGCAGATTACCTCTGCAGTGCTAACCAGGTAATTCCAGATTGACTGAAGTTCACATTTTTTGAGAGAGGCTGACATTGCAATTAAGTCTTGATTTGCTGAGGTGGACTTAGCACAGGTGACTCCTCTCTGAACCTTTTCTGTAACAGTCCCAACCTCCATGGGATAAGAACCATGATTTAAACTTATTCTATTTATTTACATGTCAAATAAACCAAGAAAGCTTGCTATTGTTAATGACATGGTTTTAAAGGAAAAGAAAAAGATTATTCTCCCTATTCTCCCTAAAAAAAAATAATTAAACTGCTTTGAAATTAAGAGCTTGACTCTCAAACCAGATGTTGTTTGCTTTTCTTTTAAGGTTTTAGCATTTAATTGAAATCACAAAAGAACTTCATTAAGCCCTTGATACTTGAGTTCTAACTGAAAGGTTAAGCTTCCCTGCAGAGAAGCAAAGCAGTTAATTGCCTGCCTACTAAATAAAAAAAAAGCCATTTTTTTAAAAAGTACAGTCAAACCTTGGTTTTCCAATGTCTCCCATTTTGAACCATTCACTTCTCAACTAGACAACCCTTTCATGCTGCTACCTGTATGATCAGTCTCAAACCTCATAGGTGACAAAGGAGTGAATGTGTGTGTATCAGTCAGTTTACTGCTAAACATCATGTTGTTAGCATCTCAGGAAATAGTGCGGTGAATATTCTCGTGTTTTTTGCTTTTGTTGCTGCTTATTATTACTAAATTTTCATTTTTTACTGTACATTTCATGTCCTTTTTGTCATTAAAGTGTTTATTTATAGATTAAAGAGTACATTAGACATGTACAGTATCTAAGAAAGGTTAAAACAGGGAATCATTTGGGGGTCTGGAATGGATTAATTCAATTTACTTAATTTCTAATGGGAACAAATGATTCGGTTTTCGAACAGTGTCTGGAACAAATTAAGTTTGAGAACCGAGGTTCCACTGTAAATGTTTCTGTTTCTATTTCCTTCCATTTTTTAATTTAATTTCTTCCCAATTCAATTTCAAGCAAAATAGGGAATTGAGGAGGGAAAAGTTAGTCAACACTAGAAAACTTGACAGCTTTCTCAGGGAAATTTCCAAATCTGTAATTCCTTGCTTAAGTGTCTAAGAAGCAGCAGGAGCTGGCCTACACCATGGCCGAGGTTTGCAAACCCTGGCCACGTGGAGTCTGCATACTTAAAGCCAAAGCAAGCAAGTTTATTGTGAGTGAGTGGGGATGGGGCAATAGGTAGAAGGCACTTTCTCAAGATGTTCCAGTTTACCCAATGCCTCCGATGAACACTCTAGCAGAAAACTGTTCAGATCGCTTTAAGAGTATGGGATCCCAAAGTGCTTCTTTGACCTTCCAAGAACATTGCATTTGAAACAAATACTAAGCCCTGAAGCAAAGGCCTTAATTGGCCTCAGGGCAAAACTTATAATAACCACTTTCTGTTTTGACTCTTCTATTCTATTACACTACAAAAAGGAAAAGGTGAATATGATTCATTGTTTAAGAATTTGAGTTCCTAGCACACTACAGAGAAGGGTTCTTTTCCATCGTCAACTCAGGAAAATAATATTAACACGGGGAAGGATTTCCCCTCTATAGTCTAGTATCTAGCTCTATTACCAGCTGTGATATATTTACAAATACACATTATGTATAGGAGGCAATGTATAGGATTAGAGTTGGAGCAGAAATTAGGAATGAATAAAAATAAATTAATTCTAAAGATGCATAATCTTTCCAAGGCAAAACCATCCTTCTACACCTCCTTTGAAATCATGAAAATAAGTAAAGAAATCTGAGAAATCAGTGACTGAAACCCAGGTTAGTAGGGAAAGGTCAGAAAGGACACTTCCACTTACTGAAGATCAAAAAGTTACTTACGTTAAATTCTCTTTGAAAAGGGACAAATTTGCCTTTTAAATGGTAAAATAGGACCAAGCAAGAGATTACTCAGAAATCCAATGCTTGAGCACCAACAATCACTTACTTTGTAAATGGTAGGTAGGATCTGTTTCATTTTCAGCCTGTGAAAGACGAAGACATCGTAAACTGCTGAGACTGCGAGAACAGTCACTCCTTGTTCCTTCCACAGCATGCTGCATCCCGCACACAGCCCTGTCCCCAGGAACCAGCCCCACGTCCTGGCTGAGTAGCCTCTGGTAGAGCAGTGTTTAATGTAGCAGAGCAAGGAGAGGAGAAAGAAAAGACTGGCCCCGACATCGGCCCGGCCCACGATTCCTGCCACGGCCTCTGTGTGGATGGGGTGAGAGGCGAACATCAAGCCCGCCATGAAGGTCCAGTATCCGTCCCCAAGGAGTATCTTGGAGAAGCTCGTGAAGAGACCAGTGACGGCCGCATGCAGTAGGATATTGACAAGATGGTAGCTCCAGGGATTCAGCCCTCCGATGGCATGGTTCAGGCGAAAAGAAAGCGTGCAGAGTGGCCGGTAGGACTTGTGGCTGCCACTGTGGGTTAGAAGAGTCCCCCAGAAATCATTGTAGAAAATGTGCGTCCATGGCGTTTCTGGGAGAAGGTCCTGATTAGTCTTGATAGCACGGCTGAAAAACAAAATGTTAAAAAAAAATCAAATGAAAAATACAGGAAAAAATATTTGGTGAGAGTGGTAAGATATTATCTTCCTCCCTAGCTTTGTTGTCATGAGACTTTATGCTGGGGTTCCAGGAATGCATATTAATGCGAATGAGCTTTACATGTAGATTGAATTGAGATCCTCCCCTTATTTCTTCCTAGCACCACAATTAGGATTGTATTTCTTTGCCTCAAAAGCTTTCTTCCTTGTTTGAATGCAAGTATGTTTGAAGAATAAATGCAGAGGTTCTATCATTGATTTAAGCCTTAATGCAGAGGTTGCTAAACAAGTGTCCTAAAAATCACTTGGCACACTGACTAAAAATGCAGAGTCTAGGCCCCAGGTTGATGTGAAGCCTGAGAATATGCATTCTTTAAAAGCACAGCCCCAGCTGATACTGGTGCATGAGATACACTAAGAGCAAGAACTAGCCCCCAAGGGAAATACATTTTAAATAAAATATTTGTGCCTGGAGCAATGCTTCTCAAACATACACATCATCTGGGAATCTTGTTAACAGGCAGGTTCCACATTTCTAACAAATCCCCAAGTAAAACTGACTCTGCTGGTCTGTGGACCCCACTTTGAGTAGCAAGGACCTATACCAGTGATGGCGAACCTTTTGAGCTCGGTGTGTCAGCATTTTGAAAAACCCTAACTTAACTCTGGTGCCGTGTCACATATAGAAATTTTTTGACATTTGCAACTATAGTAAAACAAAGACTTATATTTTTGATATTTATTTTATATATTTAAATGCCATTTAACAAAGAAAAATCAACCAAAAAAATGAGTTCGCGTGTCACCTGACACGTGTGTCATAGTTTCGCCACCACTGAGTCCTATACAGCTGGAGAGATGAGCAAGAATGGCTTTCCATCTATCCAAATATTGCCCCTCTTCCTACACTCCAGTAAACTTCAGCCTTTGCCCCTTCTGAGCTCTCACAAGACTTAGTGTCATCTACACCAGATGCCACAAGGATGCACTTCCTTGTCTCTTGCTTTTGAGGGTTGGTAACTCAAGGAGGAATAACCTAGTATTTGCTGAGCACTTCCTATCTGCCAAGCCTCTGCTGGTCTCCTTGGCTGTATCTTCTTGGTTAATTCTTGGAATAACTGATGAGATAGATATTATATTATGTGCATCTCTCAAATGAGCAAATTGTGATCGAGAAAGGTAAATTAATAAAGAATCCAAATTCACAGCAATCAGAAATAACAAGGTCAAGTTTCATGGCCCATGCTCTTTCCAGTATGATGGGATCCTCAAAATATGATCCACAAACCACAAGGAGTATCTGAGAAAATACACAAACCTTGTAAACCTCTTAATGGCTATATTGGTTTTAGCATATAATTGAAATAAATTTTAATTATCACATCAAAGCTGGATTTCATAGATATCTACTCAAAATTAAGCTGTTAAACATTAAAAAGTCAATGTAAACATAGATATGAAGGAATCAACAGTGGATAAGGTACAATTGTGGAAGGCAGCACATAAATAACTCAGTTTGGAGGATTGGAGTATTCCTGTTCTATGGCATTATACCTGCCAGAGAATAGGATGGCATCTGGAGTCTTTTGTATCTCCAGTGCAGCTATCTCAGTACTTACAGAACACAGAGAGGGACATGAGTCAGAAGAAAGCAGGAATGAGACACTTAAGTAGAAAACTCTTGCCTACTCTAATGTCAGGACTTTTTAAGGGGATGTGGATGCATGCATACCTAAAGAATAGATGGTGGGTGGCCACTCTGAAGACCTTTACCTATAGCCACTCCACCAGTTCTGCCTTTCATTGTGAGGCAGCCATGATTAAAGGAATTTCCATATGAATTTTACCAAAAATCAGGTTGTAAAAGCCCTGGCTTAAGGAGAAATGCCCGAGTCCCAGCTGTATAATTTACTGAGTGACTTCGAAAACAAGAGTATGGGACAGATTAAAAACCCATCCTAGGTGTTTAATAGAAATAGTAGAGTTAGTATTCCACTTGAGATCAATGGCTGGTCAATGCTGGTTTTCAACAGCTTCTCTAAACGGCCTCCCAATTAACCTCTCTGAGCTTCAATTTCTATAATGATAATAGTTTTACCTTGAAATCATTTAACAAACACTTGTAATTGTTCATTTGCCTTCTATGTAAAGAAGCAGAGAACACTGCTTTGCAGATACACGAGTGTTCTGGAGACCTAGAACAAATGACATCTCAGTCCTGCTAGCTGCTACTGTGATTCTACAAAGACTGGGGTAAAATTTATAAAAAGTCCCTTATTGCAGTCTGCTTGACCCACAACCTCTGAACTTGGGCACATTTGGGGGTTAAAATTAAAATAGACTGCCCTAGCTGGTTTGGTTCAGTGGATAGAGCATCAGCCTGTGGACTGAAGGGTCCCAAGTTCGATTCCGGTCAAAGGCACGTGCCCATGTTGCGGGCTTGATCCCCGGTAGGGGGCATGCAGGAGGCAGCTGAACAATGATTCTCTCTCATCGTTGATATTTCTCTCTCTCCCTCTCTCTCTCTCTCTCTCTCTCTCTCTCTCTCTCTCTCTCTCTCCTATTCTCTGAAATCAATAAAAATATATTTTACAAAATAATAAAAAATAAAACAGACTGATCAGTAGTTGATAATTTATCTACTGTATGTGAAACACCATACTACTCTTTCTATATCTACCAGTTGACTTTTCTAGATGCTCAATAAAAAGGCAGAAGGTCTGTTAAAATCACGTCTTAAAAAATACTCAATGTGGTAGGGATAGTTGTTTTTCCATGTCTATTTCCAGCCTTTTTGCATACTCTTAGACCTTCTATTTTTAATGGTGTATGGTCCCTAGATAGAAGATTTCATTTCCTAACTCCCATTGCTGCTATAGATGGTCATGTGACTAGTGGTTGGCCAGTGGAGCATAAGCAGAGTTTTATGTACTACTTCCAAAAAGTGTCCTTAAAGGGGAAAAAAGCTTCACACTCTTCCCCTCCACCACTACCTCCTTCCTGCTGGAGCAGAGATGCAATAGCTGGGGGTCTAGCAGCCATCTTGGCCCATAAAGTGTCCTTAGGAATAGAAATCATGCCCAGCACAGCAACAGACTGAAGGAAATTGAGTTCCTGTCTTGGTAGAACATACCAACCCTGGGCTAACTACCTCCCCGTTGCATGAGCGTGAGAAATAAGTTGGTATATTTTTTTAAACTGTGATATTTTGGGTGTTAGCTAGTGGCAACTGAACCTAGCTGTAAGTGAAATCCTTTGTTCACAGAAGACCTACTATATCACAGTGGTTTGACTTTTCCATTTTTATTTTTTATTTTTACAAGTCTCCATGTATTGACTCTATATTAAATGAATTTCCATGTAAACTGACTTTTAAAATATTAGAAACAGATGTTATTCTGGATCTATTAAATTAAAACACCCTGCTATGACATTCATCAAGAGTCTAACTCAGAAGTAATTGCTTAAGACTCGATGAGTTATAATTAAAATTTAAAAGAAATATGAAAAACTGTTGTCATAGAGAGCTGACTTCAAGCAATTCAGAATGAACACCCAACTGGCCTCTGCTAAACATTAACCTAGATATTGATGTGAATTTCTCTATTATCAATGCAGAAACGCTCATACTATCCAAGTCAGGGCAGTGGAAGCTCAATAGCAAAGCATTCTGGGATAAGGCTTTGCTGCTGTAGTAAGGAAAGCTAGAAAGCAAATTCTGTTTACGACAACACTATACCCTCTCACTGGCAGATCCATATCAGATGGAGAACCATGGTCTCCAAACCAGGTTTTCCACAGGCTATTAGCTCATCACCATAATCAACTCTGTAAAGACTTTTTAAGAAAAAAGTAAAACTCATACTTAAAAAAAAAATCTGTTCAAACCTGCCAGAATTTCTTATATTTATAGCAATAAGTCTAGTAACATGAAGCAGCCAACAAGCTATATTACAAGTCTAACTCTCACAAAATAAGGGTTTTAAAAAAAGAAAATTAACAAATCTCATAATTTCACTGTGAGAAAAAATTTTGATGAAGTAGAGCCCTAAATTGTCATTGTGGGGAAAAATCTAAAGGGCAAACAGTATTAATAAAACAAAAGTGGAAGGGTGAGAGAAGACCTTACCCATGTGCAAAACATACTATCCAAAGGGAGACTTGAGTATGATAACATTCTCTGGCAGGTGTTACCTGCTTAGGAAGGTTCTTACTTAACTGATGAATATTATGGCAAAAGTAAATGAAATAAGTCTAAATTGTACTGGGCTTTACTATATGTCATGTCACATATGCACGTCAGTGATAAGGGATACATTACACATCCCTCACATCATTTTAAGAAAGATACAGACCAAAGAGGCTTTAATAGAATCTGAATAATGTGCCAGCAAAATGAGAAGTAAAGGTAATCATTCAATACTAGGCATAATAGATTTTCATCCATTTGTGTTTTCTTACACGAGTCCAAAATGGAAATAGTAAAAGCTCTTCTCGGCTAATGAAAAACCTTAATTCAAAACAAGATTTCATGCTGATATAATTTCCGAGGTTATTTCTGTGAATTGGGACTGAAATTTAGGAAGGCACTAAAATCTTCCACTGCAGGAGAGGTAAAGAAATCAGAGCAGCAGATCTGAAGGAGAAACCACTGGCAGCAGAATTCTCCAGGGCACACATGACTGGGACTGTCCTTGGAAGCACAAAGGTCCCGTCTCTCAGATCTTCACGGAGTTCTTGCCCCATGTCCCCTTTTGTTCATTTGTGGCTCTTTGTTTTTGCTGCCTTGTGATTTTCCCCTTAGGAAATGCTGGCAAAGGCCAATGCTATTGTGAAACATGAATGATGTGACTGCCATCCCAACTGTCCTCATCTGGGTTTCTCTCACTGCTATTTTTTCTGTCCATTGACCTTTGCAGTCACAAGCGCCCACATAAATGATGACCACTGGTCCTCTGAGCAGGAAGG